TGTTTGTCCCATATTACACTTCCTTACATGCTAGTCTTTTTGTTGTGTTGTGTTTTTTTTTTTTTTGGCCATTTTGCAAGAGTGTAGGCCAGTTATTTTGCAGAATGTCCCCACATTCTGGATTTGTCTGATGGTTTCCTAGTTATATTTGTTTTAATTATTCTCAGCTATCTCTTTAAATGTTTTCTAACTCGTTACCCCAATAGTGGTACCATCATCGATGTGTCTTGCCTTTTCTCTATGTACTATAATTTTATTTTAAAAATTGTGTTATGGTGGAAGAGGATAAAGGATGAATATATTGGCTCTTACCTTGTTTGAGTTGATTTTACATTTTAATTCTCATTGGGTATTTTCAAACCTAATTATTATTTTTGTATATTTCCTTGATGCTTTTGGAGGGAAGATAAGTATAGGGTATATAATAAAGGGCTATTAAATGCTTAGGGAATAGTTTTTGTTAACTCTGTTTTCTTTAACTGTGTTGCTTGTAAAGAAAAAAAAAACAAAAAACAAAAAACTTTTTGACCCTGTTCAGAATAGAGATTTTTTTTCTAAAATCTGAGTGTTTTTCTTCTTTTTTAAGTAGAATAAAAAGAAGAGCAGTAATTCAGAGTAATAATTTCTGAACATGATGAATTTCTATGGCTCAAGACTCTAGTGCTTGGTACCAGTAGTTTAAAGTAGAACAGTTTTTCCTTAAATCATAATCCCATGGTATCAGCTTGTTTTGCTTCTTTCTCCTGTAGGTGGAGTATGGAATAATACCAGTTGTTGAAGTAGTAAATCTTCTTTAAACTTTGATTATTTGAAGTTTTACTACACATGACAAATTTAATTTTTGGAATATTTACTGAATGTCAACATAGTGCTTAGAGTGAAAAACGTAGCCTTTACTGGGCTGAGTCTAGTAAGGGAGACATACAGGTAAGCAGTGTTTGATTAGTAAATATTTTTTGAGCATCTAATGTGTGCCAGACACTGTTCTGAGGCATGAGATACCAAGGATAAATCAGATATCGTTCCTACCCTCCCAAGGAATGTCCAGTCTTGTGGGTGAGTCAGATAAGTAAGCCAGCTATTACAGGACATGGTTGTGCATGCCATGCGGAGGCTCCCCCGGGAGAGTCAGGGAGCCCAGGCATGGGAATCCAAGTCAGATGGAGGGGAGGCGCCTGATGAGTGACAGCAAGGCAGAAAATCAGGGTCAAGGGTATTCTAGACTGAGGAACATTGGATGGGAAGTTGCAGAGACAAAAAATGCTGTGAGCCATTTGGAGTTACAGAGTTAAAGCTAAAGCAGTGTTGCTCAAGGAAAGCATGGTCCTCTGTCAGAATCATCTGGGAGTGATTCCTAGCCCTTCCCCCACCCCACCCCAGGTGATTCTGAGCCTTCCAGGTGATTTTTAAACAAACTAAAATTTGAGAAACACTGGGCTAGAGTTAAGGAGCATAAAGGAAGAATGAAAATTATATTGTGATATATTCTACATTAAAGGTGTATATTAAGTTTATGATTAGATGTATTTGTATAGACTTTCAGACATTTTCATTTAAAACCTGTTAATTCCCCTATCCTAAGTGGTTTGTTGGAGGGAAAGTGGGTAGAGAAAGGGAAGGGTTATTACTGTCTTGTCTCTTTATCCCCAGATGATTTTAAAAACAATTTATCAGTCTGTTAATCTCTTAATCATTGATTTTTTTTTTTTTCAGTCCAAGGACAAAATGATGAGAGGCTCACGCAGAGGATGTGTTAGACTCAGAGTAAGTATTAATTTCTCTGAAAACCAGTTTGTGACAGAAAGAAAAAAATTATATTTTGATGGAACCATGGAAGTTTAACATCTTTACTATGTTGGGACAGGCAACTAAGGCTTAGAAAGGAAATGTGATTTCCCTAAGGTGACTGCTAGTTAGTGCCAGAACCAGGACTAGAACTCAGTTCTTTTGTCCTATGATTTAATGTTGTATCCATGACTTAATGAAGCTACTGATTTTTTTTCTTTTAACTTCTATTTTACAGCTAGATACTGTAAAGGCTGGAGGTTAAATTAGTTGTAGTGTTGATGATAAATAGGAAAAAACTGGAAGTTACTACTTTTAGCTATTTTGTTTATCCTGTTCAACACTATTTAATGATAATCTATTTAACAACGTTGTCCTGTAGAAGTACAATGCGAGCCACATATGTAATTTAAAATTTTCTAGTAGCCACATGAAAAAAAGTAAAAAGATACAGGTGAGATTAAATTTAATGATGTATTTTGTTTAGCCCAATATATCCAAAATATTATTTCAATATGAAATCAATACAGAATTATTAATGAGATTTTTTTTCTTTTTCTCATACTAAGTCTTTGAAATCCAGTGTGTATTTTATACTTGGGGCACTGTCATTTCAGACTAGCTGTACTTCAGGTGCTCAGTAGCCACATGGCTAGTGGCTACCTTATTGGACAGTGCAGGCCTATAAATAACTTCATGCCCATTTCATTGCTTATTCAAACTGTTTCCACCATTGCCCAAATACCTAAAGGCAGAAAAGAATGCATGGCTGGGATATAGTTTCTAGTACTTCACTGTATCTAAAGAAGGCCCTGCCTCTGTCACAGCTAGATGAATCAACTTCTAGTAGCCTTTTCTTTATCAGGTCCCAGTTGCTCTCTTTCTGCCATCTTTTTTTCTGCACCTTTACTTTTGAAGATGTGAATATATTTGGTAAACATATTATTGCCTTTATTAGCAGTCTCTGGTAGAGTTGGGAAAATAACTCTGAGAAAGAAACCAAATTATAATGGAAAAATTCTATCGCTGAGATAGGAATAAGTGTGACTGATTTGCAAGATAGATGAGGTCTGTTTTGAGCAGATGGTTACATGTGATGGCATAGAGTTTTGAAAATTCAACTTATTTATTCTCCTTTATACTGTTTACTAGGAGCCGTAGTAGCACAGTGGTTAAAGTGCTTCGCTGCTAACCAAAAGGTCAGCAGTTCAAACCCACCAGCTGCTCTGTGGGAGAAAGATGTGGCAGTCTGCTTCAGTAAAGATTACAGCCTTGGAAACCCTATGGGACAGTTCTGCTCTGTCCTGTAGGGTCACTGTGAGTTGGAATTGACTCAATGGCAGTGGGTTTGCCTTGGTTATACTGTTTACTGCTTTCTTCTTTTGGTTTCTCTGTTGTCTCCTTCCTCTAATTGCTTTTCTAAGCACTTGTTATTGACCTCAGTCACCACTGAGTCTGGTATTAACTGCTTTTTTGGCTTGAGATGGGCTTAGTAGTAAGACTTTGGCAGAGCTGTATTGAGACAGATCTTCAGTTAAATACAGGCTGGATTTGGGCCACTGTCTCATTGTTGCATTTAACACACTGTGGTTTTTTTTTGGTTTTAAATGTAGCTTAATTAATTATTAACCCATGTAACTACCACCTATGGAAACCCTGGTGGCATAGTGGTTAAGAGCTACGGCTGCTAACCAAAATGTCGGCAGTTCAAATCCACCAGGCGTTCCTTGGAAACTGTATGGAGCAGTTCTACTCTGCTCCTATTGGGAATCAACTCGATGGCACCAGGTTAACTACCACCCGTAGTGGCACAGTGGTTAAGAGCTCAGCTGCTAATAAAAAGGTTGGTAGTTAGAATCCACCAGCTGCTCCTTGGAAACCCTGTGGGGCAGTTCTACTCTGTCCTGTAGGGTCACTATGAGTCAGAATTGCCTTGATGGCAACAGGTTTGGTTTTTTTGGTAACTACCACCCAAGTTAAGAAGTAGAATTTTGCCAGCCACCCTTGAAGCCTCTGCAGGTGCCCCATTCAAATTATAGCCTCCTCCCTCCCTCCTAAAGTAACCACTATTCTGATGGTTATAGTAATCACTTCTTGCATTTCTTTATAATTTTATCACCCAAGTTTGCATTCCTAAATTCTATAGTTTTATCTTGCCCATTTTTTGTTGTTTGCCCATTTTTGAAACTTGATGTCTTTTCTTTATAATTTATCTACTGAAGAGTACAGACCCTTTGACCTATAGGAGTTTGCCATAGTCTGGATTTTAGTGATTGCATACTCACAGTACAATTTAGCATGTTCCTCTGTCCTCTGTTTTTCCTACAAATTGCAGCTAGATCCAAAGACTAGATCAGAGTCAGGTTTGATCTCTGGCAGCACTATAGTTAGTATTGCGTTCTTTTATCGGGAGGCACATAGTGTCTGATTTTGATACTCAATATCTAATTTGTGTGGTTGTTAGATGCCGTCAAATTGATTTAGACCCATAGTGATCCCATGTGACAGAATAGAACTGCCACGGAGCCACTGGACGGGTCTGGTCTGCCAACCTTTCAGTTAGTAGCCAAACGCTTAACCCTTGTGCCACCAGGGCTCCTTTTACCTAATTCATTGGGGGTTGCAAAATATTCTGTCATTTTGGTTTTTATTATCAGAAATAGTTTTATAGGGAGAGCTTCTTTTCATCTATTATTTTGTTACCCTGTGGTGCAGTTCAAATAAAACCAAACCAAACCCACTGCCATCGAGTCAATTCTGACTCATATAAATAGGCAGGATAAATGCTTGATTCTTTCCTTTTCCTTACCCAGTTTTCAAGGTAATGAATTGGCTTTAAGACAACACTCATTTATTCTCTCACAGTTCTGTAGGTTAGAAGTCTGGGTTTTCTGCCTGAGGTTTCACAAGGCTGAAATCAAGGTGTTGGCTGTGCTGGGCTCTTGAATTAACTGAATTCACTTGAATTAATTGAATCCTTCTAGTGCTTTCAGTAAGGAGCCCTGGTGGTTAAGCGCTCAGCTGCTAACGAAAGGTTGGCGGTTTGAACCCACCAGCTGCTCTGCAGGAGAAAGATGTGACAGTCTTCTTCTGTAAAGATTACAGCCTTGGAAACCCTATGGGGCAGTTCTGCTCTGTCCTATAGGGTCGCTATGAGTCGGAATCAACTCGACTGTACACAGCAACAACAACAGTGCTTTCAATCTCTCTGACTTCCCTTTCTGCTACCAACTGGAGAAAACTCTCTGCTTTTGAAACGTCTCATGTAATTAGATTAGGTTAGGCCTCCAGATAATCTTCCTTTTGCCATATGATGTAGCATAATCACTTCCGTGATATCATATTCACAGGGGAGGAGATTATACAGGGGCGTGCACCATTGGGGATCATTCTTAGAATTCTGTATGAATTTACCCTTGAATTAATTCAAGTATTGCTGACAAGAAGGTGGAAGGAGCCACATGACAGGAATATGTGCACCTTCCAGAAGCTAAGAGCAGCTCCCAGATGACAGCCAGCAAGGAAGCAGGAACATCATTCCTGCAACTACAAGAAACTGAATTCTGCCAACAACCTGAATAGCTTGAAAAAGATTCTTCCTCAGAGCCTCCAGAAAAGAGCCTAGCACAGCCAACACCTTGATTTCAGCCTTGTGAAACCTCAAGCAGAGAACCTAGACTTCCAACCTACAGAAATGTGAGATAATAAATGAGTATGCCAGAGGAACCAAATATACCTGTATTTGAATCCTATTTTTTACCCTTTGCTTTATTGACTGAAAGAGTTGTCCATAAGCTTCCTGAGCTTGAGTTTTCTTTTGTTTAAAGTGGGGATTATAATACCTTTCTTGCAAAATATTGTGAAGATTAGGTACCTGGCACATAGATGATAGCTAATATTTAGTAGTAGTAGTATATGTTTTAAGAGGTTTTGTGGTATTTCCAAAAAGCAGGATAGCAATTTGGCTTCCTGCTTAAGAAACCTCTGGAGAGATTGTTAAAAATACAGGTTCCCAAGTTCCGCCCTCTAGATATTCTGTTTTAGGGTACGGTTGTAGAACCTTTATGTATTTTTAAATACATTCTCCAGGTGGCTGTGCTGTGCAGCCAAGTTTGGGAACAACTGGTGTAGCAGAGAGATCTGAGACTAAATCTCACTCAGTTCCACCCTTTACTGACTCTGTGACATTGGGCAAATTTCTTAACCTCTATGAAGATAACATTACATAACATTGCAGGGTCGTTGCCAGGCTTAACAATTACGTATGTACAGGGTCTGGCACATAGTATACAGCCAATCAGTGATAATTGCTACAGATGATGGTGATGACAGTAGTGATGTTAAGTAATGCATCTATCATTTAGATTCCAAATGTGCTTTGTGGGCTATCATTGACTGTACCACAAAGCTCCCTCTCCCTGCCCCCCATTCATCTCATCCTATATTCACACTGTACTTCTTCCTGTATTTCTTCATCCCTCATTGCTTCTCAGATAATTTTTCTGTGTCAGAAATGTTCTGTGCCCTCTACCTTGTAAGCTCATCTTTTAAATGTCATTTCTGTGCAGCCTTCCTGATCTGCTTCCTTCCAACAGGTTAGGTGCCCCCCATCTACCTTTTCAGAACATTTGTCACTTACGGCCATAAAAGTACTTATTACATGGTACTACATGTTAACGTGTTCTGCTTTCCCCACTCAATAGTGAGTTCTTATCCATTATCACAAGTGCCTGGTACATCCTAGGTACTAAAAAAATGCTTAGTGTTGATTTTGCATATTTATAAAAATAATGACTAAATGTTGGAAAATTGGACTTTACTGTGGTTTGCGTACAAATGAATTATGGGATTTGTTTATCTTAAACACATCATGAGCCAGTGGAATGATATGTTTTCTAAAAAATAAAGCAAAACACCCAGGTGGTTTTAGGCTACATAAAAGGCAAAAGGAGAAAGGAACCAGGAGTTATTGAGGAAGCTGTACGGATCAGGCACTGTGTTTCATGACTTTCACATTTATTCCCATGATAACCCTGTCAGGTAAACAGTGTTATTAATTTTATAGATGAGGAGACTAAGACTCAAGCTATTTTTAGTAACTTATCAAGGTCCCATAGTAAATGGCGAATCTGGGATTGAACTTGGGTCTGTCTCATTCCAAAACCCTGTTCTTAATGTTACTGAGCTCCCATTCCTCTTGATTAGAAGAGCTAATACAGACACCTCAACTTGTTGCAAGATAGTCTAAAAACAGTGGAGAAAGCAAGAGTGAAAAAAGAGCCACTTCATTCCTATTCACATTCTTTGACTCTGTTGGTTGCAAAGTGTGTACACTAGGTGGTGCCATTGCCTTTAAGGAAAGGTGAAGTGTTGATTGAGTCCTGGGGTCTCATATTCCCTTCTTTCCCTCCCCTGCAGATACTAACCAGAATCAAAATATTAACATTTTCAGGTAATATCTGCAAAGTGGAGACATGGCAACATTAGAGAGGCAGGGTAGGGTAGTGGCAAAAACAGGGCCTATAGGCAATGGAATTCAAATCTGAATTCTACCAACTTATTCACTTTGTGGCTTCAGGCAGCTCATCCATTAAGCTCTGAGCTCTAGTTTCCTTATCTGTGGAATGGGCGTCATGCTATCTACTCATAGAATTGTGAATATCAAGTTAATAGATTAAAAAGTACCCAAACAGTGTGTTTGGGACTTAGTAGATTCTTAATGAATGGTAGTTATTGTTGTAATTAATAACTATTATTAATAAAAATGAATCTCAAGTTCTGAAGGATTCTAAAGGGCCTTAGGAGTCAGCAAAGTAAGTTAATTATATTCAACAAAGGTTTTTTTTTTAAATTTTTTAAATGGTGGTTAAAAAACTTATATATAAAACAAAACATTTGCTATTTCAACTTTTTTACATGTATAATTCAGTGACATTAATTATATTCACCATGTTGCACAACCATCACCACTGTTGGTTTCCAGATTTTTCCATCACCATTAACAGAAACTCAGTGTTCCCTAAGTAGTAATTCTCCGTTTCCCCATCCCTCCCACCCCTGGTCAACAAAGTTTTAATACTAGATGTATTGTGAGTTTTTGAAAATTATTAGCTTGTATATGACTTAAAGTAACTCTTTTACCCAGTGTAATGAAACTGAGTACTCCATCTAGCTGTTGTGCTGGGCATCAAGGTGACTGTGATTCCCAAGGAGTATGTCATCTAGTATTTATTCTTTTAGTCCGTCACAAGATAGGTGTCTAATTATCTAGTGCTGCTATAACAGAACTACCACAAGTGGATGGCTTTAACAAATAGAAATGTATTCTCTCACAGTCTAGGAGGCTAGAAGTCCGTTTTCAGGGTGCCAACTGCAGGGGAAGTCTTTCTCTTTCTGTTAGCTCTTCGGGAAGGTCCCCGTCATCAATCTTCCCCACTCTAAGGAGTTTCTCTGCACAGGAAGCTCAGGTCCAAAGAATGTGCTCTGCTCCCTGCACTGCTTTCTTGGTGGTATGAGGTCCCCATGTCTCTCTGCTCACTTCTCTCTTTTATATCTCAAAAAAGATTGGTTTAAGATACAACCTAATCTTGTAGATTGAGTCTCATCAACATAACTGCTGCTAATCCCTTCTCATCAACATCATAGAGATAGGATTTACAACACACTGGGAAATCACATCAGATAACAAAGTGATAGACAATCACACAATACTGGGAATCATGGCCTAACGCAGTTGACAGATATTTTTGGGGGATACAATTCAATCTATGACAATAGGTCATCAGTGTATCAGGACAGATTGTTAGTAGTTTCAACACTGACTTCTGCTAGTGCCTTATTTCATTGATTCTACAACACATATGTATTTTTTTCATATTTTAATATCTCTGGCACTGGGATGTATCTTACAATCAGTGGAATCTTAGGATAGACTCAATAAGGTATTTTTAAGTTAACATATAGTCTTAAGAAGCCCTCCCTCTCCAACCCCTCCTTATATCTGCATCGGAATTGACTCGACAGTAGCGAGTTTATAAGGACTTTTGTCAATTGTCTTGTCATTTCATTATGAAAAATTATTCTACTGATTTCTGCCTTTCTTGTTAATTCGGTAGCTGTTTTGCAAGCTTCATCTCATTGTGAATTTGACATTGAAACTGTCCTCCCTTTGGCAAGATGTAAATATCTATTTAATCTCTGTAATTGGTACATAGGTGTCATTAGTGCTATATTTTCTGAATGTTTACAATATTTCATAATTATACATTTAAAATGAAATAAAAGAGAAAGTGATGGAAAAAGATATTTCAGGTGTATGCTAACCAAAAGAAAGCAGGGAAGCAGTATTAATGTCAGACATAAAAGGCTTTAAGAAAAAAAATAAAATTGTTATGGAAAAAGAATACTAAAGACATAGCATCGTATAAACAATATGCTTTGATAACGCATACTTGTAAATAATTCATGGATGAAAGTAGAAATCATAATGAGAATTATAAAATATTTAGACCTGAATGATAATGAGACCACATATTAAAACTTATAATTTATTATCTTAAATGAATATATTATAAAACATTGAAATTGATGAACTAAGTATTAAATTTTAAAAACTAGAAAAAAAGAGTAATACAAAGAAAGTAGAAGAAAATAGCAAAAAGCATACGTTAATGAAATGGGAAAAAATATTAGGGAGCATCAATAAACAGAAAACTGGTCCTGTGAAAAAAAGTAATGAAATAAACCCTGGTAAGATTGTTAGGGGAAAAAAGCAAAGACACAAATAAATAATATAAAGAATGAAAAAGAAGAGATAACACTTATATAGTAGAGATGAAAAATCATAAATGAGCTACGATGAATATGCCAGTAAATTTGAAAGCTGAAAATACATAATTTCCTAGAATCATATAGATCGCTAGAATTAACTCAAGAAGAAATAGAAAACTTGTTAAAGAAACTGAATCAGTAGTTTAAAAAAAAAAAAATCACTCACAAAAAAGTATTAGATAAGTTTTATCAAACCCTCTAGGAAAGGATAACCATTCTGTTCCTGAGATTAGAAATAGAGAGAACTCTTCATCTAATTTTATGGCACTGGTATAACCTTGGAGCCCTGGTGGAACCAGTGGTTAAGCATTCGGCTTCTAACCAAAAGGTTGGCAGTTTGAATCTACCAGCTGCTCCTTGGATACCCTAAGGGGGAGTTCTACTCTCTATGAGTTGGAATCAGCATGACGGTAACGGGTTTGGTTTGGGTTTTTGGTATAACCTTGATACAAAACCACATAGGACATTATCAGGAAGGACTTTTTAGGCCAGTGTCCCTTATTAATACAGATACCAAAATTCTGAATAAAACATAGTAAACCATACCCAGTAATGTATAGTAAACAAAAGTGTTATAACTAAATAGAATTTATTCTGTGAATACTAGAATGCTAATTTAAAAATTAAAGTAGTTACCATATTAACAGATTAAAAGAGGAAAATTACATGATCATCTGAATAAACACAGAAGAAGCAGCGAATAAAATGAAATGTACATTCAAGATTTAAGCAAACCAGGAACAGAGAAAGAGAGGAAGACCCTCAATGAGGTGGACTGACACAGTGGCTGCGATGATGGGCTCAAGCCATAGCAACGATTGTGAAGATGCACCAGGCAGTATTTTGTTCTGTTGTACATAGGGTTG